CTGGTTCTCTGCCCTCGCGCTCCGCCAGCTGCGCATCCACCCCGTCATCCGCCTGCGGCGCAACCGTCACCGACCGCCGCCGCCCCAGCCCACGCCCAAACGCACTGCCGATCGTCTTTGCCCTCGGTACCCGACCACCACCGGCGCCAGCGACGTGCGCGGAATATCAATTGTAAAGTCGTCACCACCGTCCTGCACTGCACTGCCCAGCCGCACATTGCCCTGATATGTCGCCCGCCGCACCACCGCTGGCACCCGCTCCGCTGGCTGCTGCGATGGCGGCTGCTGCTGCGACGGCGGCTGCCCCAGCACCGGCGCAAACTCCGCCAGGTCAATCGGGTCCAGCAGCAGCCGCAGCTCGCCGTTGTTGAAAAACTGCTCGCCCTGTGGCTCTCCGGTCTCCATGGCTGACTTGCGCTTCTGTCCGTTGCTTGGAGCACGCACGAGTCCGGGCGCGTCGTCCGAGTCGGTCTCCGATGATACGTTCTCCGACATATCGCGCTGCCGCCGCCGCCGCAGCTCTGCAATCTTCTCCATTTTGCGCTGCGTCGTCGTCTGCATCGACTCGCGGCTCTTCTCGCGCTTCAGCCGCACTGGCGTGTGCGTGGTGTCGGGCGATACTGCGAGCGCCGTCTGCTGGCCGACTGGCCGACTTGGCTGTGCTGGTGCCTGTTCTCTGGCGTCTGTCGGTTGCTTTCGGCCATTCTGCGCTGTGTATAATGCAAAAGGTATTGTATAGGAAATGCGTTTTGTAGGTGAGCAGAGCCTGGCGCAAAAAAGTCGCTCTTCAGTTTTTGCTGGCATGTACCTGGCTCCTGCTTGATCCACTGACCGTGTGCGTGATCCCGGCACTAGCTCCACCACTGCTCGAGTGTCCTTCTCTTGGAGCTTGTTATCTTCGCCGCTTCCTCCTTTTTAGAGAAATATACACAGCTGGCTCGCCTTCCCCTCATTGCATTCCCCCTATTGACAATGCTCAGCAAATTCCTGGCTACACACACGCGCGTTCTTCCGCCAGTCTCCGCGGATACCCCTGGCCGCCCAGAACACACGCACTCTTGCCCGGCGTACTCGTCCGAGCCCGGACCTGGACAAGGAAATCGAGGCCATTACAGACCTGGCGATGACGGCCAAGGACGAGATGGATTTTGCCGAGGAGTCGCGCAACTCGGTCTATTACAACGACGACAAGCAGGCTGCGCACGAGGCTGTCGAGGAGCTGACAAACGCATACAGCCAGCTGCTTGCGCGCCTGGACGATGCCAGCAGCCAGGCAGTGCAGGCGCGCATTGGCATGCGGATCAAAGAGATCCAGAGCGCGTACGAAATCATGACGCTGAATGACTTGGAGGACTGACAAGACCATACTCTGTGGAAATGGACTGCGGTTCTGGTTGGGGACGAGGAAAATCAAACATCCCGTATATAAGGCCTTAAATATATGTTCTATGCTATATCGCTCACCTTGTCTTTCCTTATTTCGCACAATGTCCACTGCCCGCAGACCGCCGCAACGACTCGCCTGAAGTAAAGCTCTCGAAACTGCTCTCCTACCTGCTCCGCCACGGCGCCGCCAAGGAGGGCCTGTCGCTGCGTGACGACGGCAGCATCCAGCTCAGCACCCTGCTTGAACACCCGAAGCTGCGCAGTACTACCTTTGACCAGATCAAGCACGTCGTCGACACCAACGACAAGAAGCGCTACGCGCTGTTCCAGGACCCGGCACCAGCACCTGGTATATCCGTGCCACCCAGGGTCACAGCATCAAGATCAAACAGCCGCCGCTGACCAAACTGACTCCTGCTACGCTGCCCGCAAATGTCATCCACGGGACCACCCGGGCAAAAGTACGCGTTGATTCAGCAGCAAGGACTGAGCCGTATGGGCCGCACACACATCCATTTTTGCCACTGGCCTGGCTGGCGAGCAGCAGGTCATCAGCGGTATGCGAGTGTCCGCCAACACATTCATATATGTGGATGCCGTGCGGGCGATGCAGGATGGCATTGACTTTTATCTGAGCGAGAACGGCGTTGTTCTGTCGGCAGGCAAAGGCGACTCTGGTGTTATTCCGCCAGAGTACTTTAGCAAGGTCGAGTTCAAAGACTAGGTGTATTGCGCACAGCTAAACTGCAGTAACTGTCTGGGTGGGCATGAATCGGGGATAAGCCGAAGCCGCACTACACATTAGCGCCGGTCTGCCTCCAGCACAAATTGGCTTTCTTACTACGAATACAACGTTTTTCGAGTCCTTTTTCTGCTAGCTACTAGTCTACTTCTCAATCCCACTCCCTCCCCCACATATCGGCCTGCCTCAGCCTCCCCCGCTGCTTGTCATTTGTATATGCTTGATTTTCGTTCGCCCAAACCTTTTCTGTATATTGGGCCAGTGTTTTAACCGACTTTACATTGTATAGGTCGGCAAACCACCTCACCCCACCAGATTCCCTCAGCTCTTGCCTCGATACTGCTGATGCCTAGCCGTCGTTTACATTACTTTCCCGACATTGTTATTGTTTTCTTCTTGGGAACTACGAGAGAAAAGCATATGGCAAGAAATAAGCGCGAATAGCCGTTTCTCCAGTATATCTCTGTTCTTCCACCAGGCATTTTCTCTTGTTTACATTATAGCATTTGCGGATTTATTGTCGCGTAGCCTCCGAAATGGTGTTGGCCATATTTACTAACGTCGAATCCCAGTTCTTGGGATGGCCGGTCCGGCTGTGTGCTTTTCTACTTGGGCCATCATTATCCTCTTCCTTTTCCTCCCCTCTCGTTCCCCTCTAATTCCGTTGTTTGATAGGTTCTACATCCTCCTCCTCCAATTCTCTAAACAGTCCGCGATCCATTTGACCTCTACCTCACCTCTCCGCCCGCACATATCCCTTACATATCATCATCTCCCTACCATTGCTTGTAGATTGCTTGGCTTTAGTTCGCATTGCGTCTGCAGCACATTCCATTTATTTCCTTCCACGTTCTCTACAAATAGCCTTTCCCGATATCCCCCTTCCCGCTAATGGCCTCTCTCGATACAACCAGCAATATGTGCTCGCTTGATGACACCGCCACGAAATTATGCGCCACGACTTCTCCGCCAGTGCCAACCTTAACCACCATAGCAGAAACACCCAGTGGACCTGTCACCACAGATCTGCCGCCCAGCGCTGGCGCAAGTGAGATCCCCATGGCAAACCTCTATCAGCTTCCCGCCTCTGGCCCACACGGACTATCCGCCAAACCCAGTCAGGCGACCGGCGACCCCGCATACCAGCTCGGCAATGTGCCCACCAGCCTAGTGCAACCAGGCAGTGGCAGCACACAGCCAGTTGCCGAAGGAGTGGATCCAGACATTGATTTCCCAGGCGGACCGCACTGGAAACCTGTATGGAAATGCGCACATGGCGTCGTGCAAGCACGACCCCAGCCAGACAGGCTCATCGGATAGCGATTCGGATGATATTTCGCGGTCGCTGTCAATTTTGCTCTCACAGCAGCAACAGCAGCAGCAACTACAGGCAAATGCAAAGCGGTTCCACACTATTGGGCTGCCGCCGCACAGCGGCGACTATAATGCTACGCTGATGGATATCCTGGGCTTTAGCTTTGATAGCTCGAGGCGGGTGATGAGTCTACCAAATTCAATCGGCAACATGGCGATGGATATTCCGGCTGATGCACATGCTCCGGGGTGATGGGCATCCCTGTTGTGGCAGGACTTGGGATAGACAAGACCGAGGATGCACAGCAGATGGACTCGATGGCTGCTGCCGCTGCTGCCGTGGGGTTGCCTTCGCAGCACTTCATGCATGCTCAGCTCGCACCGACCATGCTTACTCAGTCGATGCAACCGCCGCTGATAGCCAACAGTGCCCCAATGTCCCACCAGCACCACCACCTTGGCATTGTTGGCTTAACGGTCAGCGAGACCCAGCGCCCAGCTGACATCCTGAGCTTCCACGCCCAGACATACCCGCCGCTTACTTCAGCTGCCATACCAAGCTCATCTATAGCCATGTGCAGCTCCAGCCGGTCATCCGTGGGCACGGAAATGAACAGTGTCATGCCTGGCCTGGCCGGGCTCAAGCGTGGATTCCACACCACCGTGCCTAGTCCCGAAAAGACTGGTGCATCGCTTGATGATAGCAAACCTGAAATGCATTCATCCACAGCACCCTCAACACCGCGTGCAAAGCGCGGCCGCCCGCGCTCATCCAAGCGGCAGACACAGCGCGGCTCCACAGCAAAGCCCGCTATTGAAACGGACAGTGCTGAGAGCAAGTCCCTGAGCTCCATTGCTACCGAAGCTGTCGGTCCAGCGCCACTACACCCGTCATCGTTCACCAGCAACCAGGGCGACCTACTGCCATCCACACCACTCACTGGTGATCCTCCAGGACACGTAATGCCGGAGATATCTGCTTCGCACTCCTCCGGCACGCCTTCACTCTCCAGCTCCACATCGACGCCGGCCATGCCGGGCTTGATTCCCCACCGTGTCGATCGGCAGTTGGCGGCAGCTGCCCGGCCGCTGCTGTTCGTGCGCCGCGCATCAAAGACGACCAGCCCAGGCGCCGCAAGCGCCGCTGCCTGTCCAGCAACCCCGGGTCGGCTGCTGGCACGCCTGTCGACACGCCCCTTGACATTGTCTCGGCTGTGCCAATGCCCGGGCCACCTCTGGGCGAAGACGGCCAGACGAACCTGCAGTGGCAGCGGATCTCGGAGCAGCGGCGCCGTGATGCGATGCGCGAGAACTTTGATCTGCTCAAGCGCATGTTGCCACAAGAGTACATGACTAGCGATGATGGCCGCGAGCTGGCCAGACCGGTATTGCTGGCACGCTTCCTGCGCTGGGTTGATGACACGCTGATTGAGATGGAAAGCCTGAAGTCTGAGGTTGCCCGGCTGAAGATGCAGCCAGGCGCAATGCCGATCGGCAGCCAGCAGGGTACGTGCGGCTGGGAGGGCCAGGCACGTGAGGGTGCTCCTCAGCAGCTCAGTGGCAACAGCCCCATGTGGGAGGTTGCTGAGGCTGTTGCCGTAGCTGCTGCTGCCGCTGCTGCTGCTGCCGCAGTTGCTTCCAATCCTTCACCAAGCGAAACCGCCGAGTCCAGCAACCTGTCAGCACAGTCTTCGACGCAGAATGTAACGCCCTCAAGCGATGCCAGCAGTCAGCTGCTGGGTGAGCTGTGATACTCCTATACTTACCACCTCCCCGCATATCATGTCCATTTGTTCAGTATAGTTTATTCTTGATGACCTACCGCAACCCGCTAAATATGGAATTCTTGGCCATACGAGCCCCAGCTGTGCATACTTGCCTACAGCATGGCTCAAAACTACCCAGCAAGTGTCAATCCAGCTTTCACAGCAAGCCACCAGGCTGATTTGGACAGGCAATTGTGCCAGCAGCCTCTGTGTCCGTTTCTCGCCGGATAGAGATAAGGCATGAGCTCCGCCTCAAATTCTTTTTTATGTGCCGTGGCTTTCCTGTTTGCGCGGCCTGCACAGAGTCAATGGACGCATCCTGGCTGGGTCACCCGCCTCTAGGACCAGGATGCGCCACTGTTTACATTAGTTCTCGGAATAATGGGCCTGATGCACTCCAAATGTGCCGTTTGGCTGAGGAAAACTGTCGCACGTACATCAAAACATTGACATGGTGGGGAGGACGCCTCCTCCACCCCATCTCTGCAATTGCAGGATTGATGAAAGCGCGCGTCTCCCCATGAGGTGATGCCCAGCCAACGTTGGCGAGGGAGGGCTCTCTACGTGTGCGCGTTGCTAGATTTGCGACTTGCCCTCCCACTTGCTGGCAGCGCTTGCTGATGGGGAGGGCTAATGGTGCAGGAATATTCGCAGCGCGAAATACATAGTGCAGTTTCTTGTCTCCCACAAAACGAGCAGAGCAGTAGCACCGAGCTCATATTCTGGGCTGGCGCAAACTCTGCAGGTGTGTTTCTCCCACAGAATGCACCAAAATAGCTTGTTTTACTTTCATTTTGGAACCGCATCGGCATTTTTCTCTAGGCGAAACGCCGACGGATTCTCCACGCGAAACCAACGTTTCTGCTTGCGGAGACCAGGGGATGCAGCTTATTCTTGACCGACAATATTTCTAGCATCAATAGCAGTGCTAATCGCCGGTTGGCAGCATGTCTCGCTAGAGCCCTGGGCAGCGAATGTGGAGAACATGCCAGAGCAGGAAAAATGCTGGCTGCGGGTATGGAGAGGCTTGTAAAACATCGCCGACCTGCTGCCTGTGAGAGACTGGGACCCAGGCTTTCACCCACCAGCTGAATTCCATTATTCTAAACAGCAGAATTGCAGCGACGACGGCACTGGCGAACCGCGCCAGGCAACAATCGTAATAATAACAACAAGAATAGTAAGCACATCCCCCGCCCCTTTGCTTTCCGCCTATTTTCGAAATACAAGAAAAACACACCCTTTTCTTCAAGGCAGGCCACGCTGCGCTCTGGGACCTCCCCTCTCGCAACTCCACAGACAAGATAATTTCGAAACGCGCGGCTGTGTTTCTCTCCTCTTTCGCTTCTCTGCTCCATTCTAATAATTCCATTTTTCGCTTCCTCAGCTCGTTAGACAGAGGCTACCTCTTTTCCTCCATTGTTACCACACCTCCCTCTCTTCCCTGTCCTTAACCTCGCCATTTCCCATCTCTTGTATTGTGCGTTGAGGAAGCCAGTATCGTACGTATCTCCTGGCTCTGCCATCTGTGCGCGGATCTCCATTAATGCACGCAAGTTTGCGAGAGCTAAAATCCCCGTATTGTAGGACATCTCGTTTACGAATATCTCAAAGACGCTCGCCAGCCAACGCTTTTTATTTCGATCCTCAAGCGATTTAGAATAGGTATGTGTTTTCCTGTTTCCAAGCGTGGCTTTCCCAGACACATTGATCGCCAAAACCACAAGCCCCTGGTCTTGTTGATTCAGAAACGGCTCAGAGCGATAGGGACTGTTGCGTATAATTCTTCATGCGCTGGATGGGCCCGAGGCTGCTGAAAAGGTGGCCCACCTGCACATTCTGAACTGAAACACCTTTTTGCATTCTCTGCGTTATCCCACTGCACATTTTTCTGTAGGAGTAGCCACACCAGTGTTCTCTCTTTCTGCTCTGCAACCACTCTTTTTATCTTGCACAGTCTTTGAGCCCTCTTTCCAGAGTTTACCCTCCACCCAATAAGCCATGAAGTCGACATCAAGCTCGGTCTCAAAGAAGAAGATGCAGGGCTACGTTGGATTCTCCAACTTCCCGAACCAGGTCCATCGGCGGTCGGTGAAGCGCGGGTTCAACTTCACGCTGATGGTTGTCGGCGAGGCCGGAATCGGCAAGTCGACGCTGATCAACACCCTGTTTGACACCAAGATCTTCCCTGACCGTGAGGAGGTACCACCAAACGCCGAGCCGATCAAGGGCGTCGATGTGACATCCATGAGCGCAGATATCCAGGAGAACGGCGTGAAGCTGAAGCTGACAGTTGTGGACACGCCCGGGTTCGGCGACTCGATTAACAACGAGGACGCATGGCAGCCGATCCTGGAGAATATCGAGTCGCGGTTTGACGCGTACTTGGCGCAGGAGAACCGCGTGAATCGCAGCAAGATCAGCGACAACCGCATCGACGCAGTCATCTACTTTATCAAGCCGACTGGCCACAGCCTGCGCGCCATCGACATCGAGTTCATGAAGCGCCTGCACACCAAGGTCAACCTGATCCCAATCATTGCCAAGGCCGACACGCTGACAGCGCGCGAGCTGGACCTGTTCAAGGCCCGGATCCTGGCCGATATCAACTACCACGGCATCCAAATCTTCAAGCCCGTGTCCGATGAGTTTGACGATCCCGAGACCGTTGCTGACAACCGCGAGATCCTCAGCAAGATCCCGTTCGCCGTCATTGGCAGCGAGAAGTTTGTCGAGCGCCCCGACGGCACGTCAGTTCGCGGGCGCCGCTACCCGTGGGGCATCATCGAGGTTGAGAACGAAGATCACAACGACTTCATCAAGCTGCGCCAGATGCTGCTGCGCTCGCACATGGAGGAGCTCAAGGACACGACCGACATGGTTCTGTACGAGAACTACCGCACGCAGAAGCTGCTGACAATGGGCCACGTACAGGACAACAATGTGTTCCGCGAGTTCAACCCAGTTATGCAGCAGGAGGAGGAGAGGCGCGCGCACGAGGCCAAGATGCAGAAGATGGAGGCCGAGATGACAGCTGTGTTCCAGCAGAAGGTGCAGGAGAAGGAGGCCAAGCTGAAGCAGTCCGAGGAGGAGCTCTATGCCCGCCACAAGGAGATGAAGACTGTGCTCGAGAAGCAGCGGGCCGATCTGGACGAGAAGAAAAAGCGCGCCGAGGTTGCCATGCGTCCTGTAACCCCGCTCGAGCAGCACCCGACGAAGGGCAAAAAGAAGAACATCTTTGGTGGGTTCTAAGTGAATCCAGCAAGAGCCCCTTCCCCCCACCCCACCAAGAATCTCATTTCCACTCCACTCAACCTACTTCTCATGGCAAGCTACTTTACCGTCCCCCCACATGTCCCCTCT